GCGGAGGGCGCGGGTGGGCTGTGTGTGAGGAGGAGGAGGGGAGGAGGGGGTTCCCCGGGCGGTGCGTGGGCGCCCGCGCCTCGCTCGCTGTAACTTTGGGAAGGGGCATTCCCGGGGCGGTGCCGGGGGCTGGGGCGTGCGGCGGAGCCTCCCCGGTGCCGCCGGGCGATGCGGGTCCGAGCGCGGTGATTTGGGGAGGAGGTTCCTCTTGTGGCGCCGGGAGGCTGGAGGTCGCTGTGGGTTCGTCTTTGGAATCGCGGGTTCGCCTCTGGAATCGTCTGGCCCGCGGTTCCTCCTCCTGAGCGCGGGGGATGTGCGGGTGAAGCGCTCGGGCTGGAATGGCCCCTCTGGAATCCGGTGGGGTTTATCTGATGCCGAGACCTTGTTATCTCCCTCTGGTCATCCCGTAGCCTCGGTAAGTTTCGGGGGTGACTTCTTTTGTCTCCTTATCTCTGGTCGTAAGGGAAGAGACGAGAAATACCGCGAGTAAAAGCTTGATTTCCGTGCCTCTTACCCATTTCTGCCTCGCAGCTGTAATGAAATTGTGTTATTGAGGAATGGAGATAAGATTTTTCTCTTTTTTTCCCCCCCGAGGTCGCATACCATTGTAGGTCTCAGTGACTCTGGGATATAAATGGGGTGAATACGAGTGGGGATGTTGTCTGGGATTGGCTTAATTCCCAGAATCCTCTTTGGTTCTAAAGTTGGTTCTGTTTGTGGTTTCTGCTCCTGCTCTTGAGCACAGTCAACTTTTCCTTTGAAAGAGAAGCTTCTCAGTCTGTCAGCTCGTAGTCAGACAGCATCTCCTTCCTCTTTTAGATAAAAGTTAGTAGAAAATACTATGTTGGAGTCTTATCTGGAATAACAGGACAAAACTACAGCAAATCTGGCAGTGTGAGGGTTGGTAATGTTAAGCTGTATGGTATCTATAATATAGTTAAACTGGACACTTACAGTAAACTTAAAATTCTGTCATCAATTTTGTAGAAATGAGTATTTTCTCATAAAATATTTCCAACTTACGATGTGCTGCTACACATGAGACAAAGTTGTGTGTTCTAAATATAAACACGAGATAGCTTCACAGAAAAAAAAATACAGTCTGCTTGAAAGCCCAAGCATAAAGACTTGGGGCTTTTTTTGGTTTGCTTTGGTTTTGTTACATATTTTTTTTTTTTTAGACTGGGTTGTGCATTATAACATATAGTAATTGTATTTACTGTTAGCAGCTGTTACAATGGACTGGTGAACTGACTGATGTTCAGAATTTTTTTCAACTCTGTTACTACTGCTCTATTTTATTTTTTTTTTAAACTAATACCGTTGGATTTGATGGATTTGCTGCTGTGATGTGAAGGCTGGGGGATAGGGGAAGTGATGGAAGATAAACCCAGTATTCAGCCTCACTTTGAGTACCTTTGCTGATTACAGTGTGCTGTTTCCAGTCTGATTTTATTTGGCATATGAGTTGTGTGGGTTTTGGGCCTGTTTATGGCTTTGGGTTTCTTTTGACTCTTCCTTTGTAGCCCTTGTTCATTCTGGCTTTGGATTAATTAACTGGGCAATTTGCATTGTCTAGTTATCAGTGTTTTTTTCCATAGTATCAGTGAGACAAAATGCAGAGTAGGAAGGAGAAGCAAATCTGTTTTACAATGGAACCTTATCTTTTGATCATTTTTTATTAATAATGGACAAGAAATCACAGTCCAAACCTTCAAGATTAGTCTCTGTTACAATTGCATAGAAAAATGGGTGTGTGGTTTTATTTTTCAAGAACTCTTAGAAAGAAAAGGTGTCTTGATGATGTTTGCCTGCAAAATTAAGCCACTGGTAGCATGTAAAATGATATTGAGCACTTCAGTCTGACACTGGAGGTTGCTTCAACTCTGCATTTAAATGAGCCTCCCTCGAAGAGGTGATCTTGAATGACTGTGTGATACAGGATATTCTGCATTTTACGTGCGTGGAAGCTTTTTGAGGATTTAGAAATACCTTAAATATTCCCCGGACTTGTTTTTATAATTAAAGAAATGGAAGGGGGAGGGAGGGCAGGAATAGTACTCTTTGTGCCAGGGATATGAGAGGGTGGTGAAAAATATGTAATGTGAATCCTGGGGCAGCGTGCCTGGGGGGGGTTTTTTGTTTGTTTTACCCCCCTCCTCCTCAGCTTAGACCTATTGATGTTTGTAAATGTGGTGTAGTAGGGAAGAGGCAGCTGTGAAAGAATTGAACTGCTCCTGACTTAGGTCTGCTGTGAAATGTATTTCCACTCACTGATAGCTGTGTGCTACATTGAGTTGGAAGGAGATTACATCAAGTTGTTTGTTGCCCCATATAAATGGGAGGTACAGTTGAGATGGACCCTAATACTTAATTTAATAGCCTTGGGATATGGTAAAAGTCACCTACTTCTCAGGCTGTGAGTGCTCTTGCAATACTAGAGGAGTGGAGGTGATAAGGTCAGCTCTACAAGTGTCTCTCTACCTTTGAGTATTCCCTGTGTTCTGTGTGTGTGGGGAGGGTTGCTACTGGGTTTTTTTGTTTGGTTGGTTGTTGGGGCTTTTTTTTTTTTTTTACTTTGGTTTTGGTGGTACACCACGTGCCCCACCTTTGTTACTTTAGTCCTTAAACGTGAGCCTGTTCAGGTCAAGCTTTCTTTGTTAGGTTATGGGTCATTGCCCTATTGGAAACTTGGTTTTAAAGGGTTGTTTTCCACCAGGTGAAATTCATTTTTGAAGATTAGAACATGGATAGCGTCTTGACTTGAAGTCTAAAACTATCACAGCTGCATTTCATGGCTAGGATTGCTCTAGAAATCTAAAAACACTGTAAAAGTTCTCCAGCAAACATTGTTATTGTTAGGTCAGGAGCAAATAAAGCTGTTTAATGTATGGAAGAACCTTACTCTTTGAATCTCCAAAGGGCTTCATGTGGTTTTCCCCATGAACTTTTAGGTGAGGTGCAATAGAGTGTGATACCCTTTGTGGGTGCAGTGGCTTTCCCTTAATGAAAACAAATGGTAAAAATTAATCTTGCTGGAGTATTTTATCATTAGGCAGCACAAGCATGTCTTTGAACAACACTACAAATAGAAAAGAGTTAAGAATGGTGGTGCTCTCTTCAACAAATAGAGTTAGTTCCTAAATTATTTGTGAAAGGAATGCTTTCTAATAGAGTCTTCAACCTGAGTTTTACTATAGGTAGAAATGTGCAAAAGAGCAGTTAGTGAATGTGGGAAAGGAAATTAAAATTATTCTCGGGGAAACTACCCAGGCTAGAAAAAAGCAAGCTGAAATCTGTTGTCTGGAGACGATGTGCCAGTTGTCTTTGCTGAAGAGAACAATTGGCAGAGGGGATGTTTGTCTGCCACCTTCAGTGTACCAGTGTAGAATAAAGCAGATCAGCACGTGTGTTCAAAACAAGTGTCTTAAGATGTTACTGAAAACTTACCCGATTAATTTAATTTTAAGCGTTTCTTTTCCAATGCCAGTGTCTGTCTGGGCCGTGTGCTCAACAGAACTGTAATGCAGCACCTCTCTCTTCCTAATGCAACTATAGCAAGACTATTAATTCACATATTGCACTCCATAGGAGGGTCTTAGAACACCCATTTATCTTTGTAGTTGGTCACAAGCTGGACAAGCCTTCAGTTGTCACCGTGCTGTGTCCAGGCAAGTGTCTCTGCTCCTGTTACTGAGCCAGGTCAGGCAGAGCTGTGATGGGGTGATGTGGTGCTGTATTAAATGGATGTTTTCCTGGAGGTAAGAGGAGAGATGTGCTGAATGTCCTTCCTGCTTTATACTCATTAACAGGTAGTAGTTTGGAACTTTTAAAGGAAAACTACCTCAGTATTCCAGGTCACATAGTATGGTTCTACACACAGTTTAAACAGTAACAAATGCTTGTTGTCTTTACCTAATGAAGAGCAAGGGCAAGAGCTTTAATTTGAAAGGATCTGTCATAATGTTTAATGGGAAACTCTTTCAAGTGATTATTAGTGGTTTTTTCTTCACAGTGACAGCTTTATGTTAAATAAGTTGGCTGTATGATAACATCAACACAACAGTTCCAGGTAATGCATTAAAACACAAACCCTGCTGTTCCTTCTAGGCTTTTGTAATACGAAGACATGACACATCAAGCTCCTGAGGGAGAGTTGGTGAAGATTTAAAAAATAACCCATCCCATACCCACCTCCTTGGTTCTTGTTTTTCTACGAATCTCAACTTTCATAATTGTTGTGACAAACGTGAGAATTAATGCCTGTGAATATAACTTGCTGATAACTTTCCCCACTGCAAGCAAGATGGTACCTGTTTGCAATGGGCTGTGTGGTAAAATCAAGGAGATTCTTTCTTACCCCGTGGTTTTCTGAACTACACAAAGGAGTATAAATATATATACAACACAAAATGTGTATATATAGATATACATTACACGAAGTAGCATAAATATACATACTCCTTCTACAAGCACGATGCAAAGCTGGCTCACTAACACCAGCCACTGCAAAATCATTGTTCTAATTCTCTTATGTGCTGTTTTGGAGACTTGTTTTTTTTTAAAAAAAGACATAAAAGAATAAGAGCATAATCTTGGAAAGAAATGTGAAGAATAACCAAAGTGTTTCTGATATTTCCCTATGCCAAAGGGTGACTAAGCAATGGAAGCTTACAGCAGAGATCTGTGTTTTGGTGGGGTTTTTTTTCCATTTCACTCATCTGAAAGCCTTTGAATTCTTGTTTTTCTAAGTCTTAAGCAGGCCTGTAACTGTTCTGAGCTCTAGCTAGACAACAAGATATGAAATGTAGCATAATAAGACTAAGCAGCTATTTCTACCTTACATTGGAAGCCCAAAGGGTGCTATTTTACTCTTTTTATCCAAATGAGTGAAATGTGACTTTTAAAGTCTCGTGAGGACAAAAATCTCTGGTATACAGTTAAGGTGCCTTCTTGACTTGCATAAGCAATAGTTCACTTTTCATTTAGACATCTTACTGTTGTTATTAAAAGACAATAAGTTATTGCTGTGGTCTAGAAAGGAGCCTTTCTAGACTGCATGGGTTTGATGTTTTATTTTTAGTTCCCATTGCTCAAATATTGATGAGCTGAGTCATGTGGTGGTGAAATCAAACCCCATTTCATGATTCAGCATGAAATATTTGGTTGTAGAACCACTTATGAACCAACTTGCTCAAATTCCATCAAACAGCTTCTGGTTAACTTATCGGACTTTCTCTTTTGCACTTCCTTTTGTGCTCTGTTCATCTTTGCTGCAGTGAACTAAAGCAGGCTTAGCAGCATCTTTTGCTGTAGTATGCTCTTGGTTTTATCTTCTATGTTCTATTAGTTTTATCTTTGTGCTGTTCAGAGTGGAGATTGCTGGCTCAGTGGACAGCCCTCAGCATATGGACT